GTAGTAGTAGTCGTAGCAATAGTAGTAGTCGTAGTGGTAGTGGTAGCAGTGATAGTTGCCGTAGTAGTAGCCGTCGCCGTCGCAGTAGTAGTAGTCCTAGTGAACGTGGTAGTACCAATTGTCGTCCTTCATAGCTGTAGTCGTAACACTAGTAGTTGTAGTAGTCGCAGCAGTATCAGTATTCATAGAAAAAGTAGCTGTAGTAGTGGTAGCAGTAGCAGTAGCAGTAGTTGTAGCAGCAGCACTAAAGGGAGGGTGGATGTGGTCGCAGTGGTAGTAGTAGTGGCAGTAGTAGTAGTAGCAGAAGCAGTAGCAGTAACAGTAGCAGTAGCAGTAGCAGTAGTAGTAGTAGTCGTAGTAGTAGTAGTAGTAGTAGTAGTTGTTGTAGTAGTAGTAGTAGTTGTTGTAGTAGTAGTGGTAGTTGTAGCCGTAGTCGTTGTCGTAATCGTAGTAGTAGTAGTAGTAGTAGTAGTAGTAGTAGTAGTAGTAGTCGTCGTCGTCATAGTAGTAGTAGTAGTAGCAGTAGTAGTAGTAGTAGTAGTAGTAGCCGTAGCAGTAGTAGTAGTAGTAGTAGTAGTAGTCGTAGTAGTAGTAGTAGTAGTAGTACTAGTAGTAGTAGTAGCAGTAGCCGTAGTAGTCGTAGTAGTTGTAATAGTAGTAGTAGTAGTAGTAGTAGTAGTAGTAGTAGTAGTAGTAGTAGTAGTAGTAGTAGTAGTAGTAGTAGTGGTAGTAGTCATAGTAGTAGTAGTAGTAGTAGTAGTAGTAGTAGTAGTAGTAGTAGTAGTAGTAGTAGTATCCGCAGTCGTAGTCGTAGTCATTATCGTAGTCGTAGTTGTTGTCGTACTCGCAGTCTTAGTAGCCGTCGTCGCCGTCTCTCTCTCTCTCTCTCTCTCTCGAGAGAGAGAGAGAGAGAGAGAGAAAGAAGAAACATAAAGCCACCGAAGAGAGAGAGAGAGAGAGAGATGGAGAGAGGACAACAATTATCTTGGCGAAAGATTCAGCCAAACGCAGTTGTGAGTACCGTTGTTGTGAGTATCGCCTTCAGTGGATCTCCGCATGGGGCCACGAAGCGTGCGAAGGGTGTGCCAACATGGAGCGGAGCCGCCATGCGTGTGAGGGGTGTGCCGAAATGGAGCGGTGTCATGCAAACCCTCCCACGGTGGCTTCAGGGATAGCTCCACATGGGGCCACGAAACGTGTGAGGGGTGTGCTGGCATGGGGCGGCGGTGCCATGCGAACCCTCCCACTGGGGCATTAGATGGAGCTCCCTATGGAGCCACGAAGCGTGTGAGGGGTGTGCCAGAATGGAGCGGCCGTGCCATGCGAACCCTCCAACTAGGGTCTTCGGTGGGGCTCCCTACGGAGCCACGAAACCTGTGATGTGCATGCCGGAGTGGGGCGGCGGTGCCATGCAAACCCTCCCACGAGGGCATTCGGTGGAGCTCCTTATGGGGCCACGAAGTGTACGAGGGTGTGTGCCGAAATGCGGCGACGGTGCCATGCGAACTCTCCCACTATGGTCTTAGGTGGAGTTCCTTATGGGGCCACGGGACGTGTGAGAGGTGTGCGAAATGAGGCGGCGGTGCCATGCGAACCCTCCCACTGGGGCCTTAGGTGGAGCTCCTCATGGGGCCACGAAGCATGTGAGGGGTGTGCTGAAATGAAGCGGCTGTGCCATGCGAACCCTCCAACTGGGGCCTTAGGTGGACATCCTTATGGGGCCACGAAGCGTGTGAGGGGTGTGCCGCAATGGGGCGGCGGTGCCATGCGATCCCTCCAACTAGGGCCTCAGGTGGAGCTCTTATGGGGCCAAGAAGCGTGTGATGGTGTGTGCCGACATACGGCGGCGGTGCCATGCGAACCCTCCCACGGGGGCCTCAGTTGGAGCTTCCTATGGGGCCATGAAACGTGTGAGAGGGGTGCCGAAATGCGGCGGCGGTGCCATGCGAACCCTCCCACTGGGGCACTGGGTGAAGCTCCTTATGGGGCCAAGAAGCGTGTGAGGGGTGTGCCGAAATGGGGCGGCGGCGCTATGCGAACCCTCCCACTGGGGCCTTCGGTGGAGTTCCCTATGGGGCCACGAACCCTGTGAGAGTCGTGCCAAAGCTGATGGCGATGTGACGATGATGAGGATGAGGGTGAGGATGAGGATGAGGATGATGATGGGGATGATGATGATTTTGACGATGGCGATGACGATGACGATGACGATGATGGTGATGATAACGGCCATGCTGATTCCGCTAAGGATGACGATGCGGATGAGGATGAGGATGCTGATGAGTATGACGATGATGATGATGATGACGACGGCCATGATGGTGTCGCTGATGATGGTCATGATAATGGTGAAGAAGACTATGAGGATGATGATGAGGATGATACGGATGATAAGGATGATACTGATGATGATGATGATGATGATCATGATGATCATGATGATGATGACGATGATGACGATGATGACGAGATGATGCTGATGGTGACGATGATGATAATGATGATGATGACGACGATGATGATGACGATGATGGTGATGATGATGACGACGATGGGGGGAGGGAGGAGGGGGAGAAGGAGTGAGGAGGAGGAACGCGGGGCGCTGTCTCTTCAAGACCAGCACCAAACGACACAGCATGGTTGGGGGAAAAATAAAAGCGAGCGAGAGAGAGAGACAGAGACAGAGAGAGAAAAGGAGATGGGCATTCTCGTACGCACGTCTCCGAGGGAGCGCTCAGAAGCGATTGCTGGGATCTCCGCTCATGTGTGTTGACCGTTTCGAAAATTACGAAAACAGACGCACACCTCACGCGGATCGCGACCGCAGGGTTCAACAACCCAGCAGGGCTGGGGGAGGGGGAGGAGATGGGCGAATGGAGACGGGAAGGGGCAGCGAAGGGAGAGAGGATCCCGAAGATTTTCATTCGTGTCCTGCCATTTTCAGGGGCACTCTCCCAAGTCGGTTTCTGCCCGTCCCTAGGACATCCTGTGGATATTCTGCGACCATCGTAGCCAGTTTTGGCTCAAGTAGCATCGTGGGCTCAACCGTTTCCAGGCCCCGAGCCCGCCTGCGTTGTACCGGTCGCAAAGCCGAGGTGAGAGCATGGCGTCGCAGGGCTCGACGCTGCAGGGGTACAACAACGAGCTTGTGAAGTCCATCGAGGATCTCCGTGAAAAGCGGGAGGAGTTGAATAAACAAATTTTGAAGGAGGAGGAGGACAAAGCCAAGATCCAGAAGGAGCTTTGTATCCTCACGGACCGGCTGCAAAAGATCAACGAGAGCCTCGTGCGCAAGACGCAGGCTCGCAACGAGTACGACAAGACCATCCAAGAGACCGAGGCTGCTTACATGAAGATCCTGGAGTCCTCCCAGACATTATTGCATGTTCTCAAGCGCGAGACGGTCAATTTAACGAAGAAGTAACAGAGGGCTTCGCGCAGCTCGCGCACCGCCTGCACAGCCGTTTCTCGTGGCGTCCAGGCCAGCATACGCCGTCGCAGCACGTCGATGGCTGGGGGGAGTGCCTCGCCGTTTCTGAGCCTTTCGACGCTGACGACCTCTGAGAATAATCTGCACTATGGCTGTCGCTATGCGTGAACGGTTCCTCGCTCCCCTTCCTCATTCAGTTGACCGCCTTAGGCGGCTCCTCGCTGCCGTGGAATCGCGGTGACCCTCAATCCGCCTCCTCTTGTGTCCCCTGCTCCGCTCCTCCCGTTTCTGCCCATTCTTTCTCCCCTTCCGTTCTCGTCCGCCGTCTGCCGCTCCTGTCCTTCCCCATTTCCTCCTCGTCCTCCTCAATGGCTTTCTTCCGCCCCCTCTGTCTTGCCTCCGCACCCCCTGACTCTTCCTACTCCCCCTCTGGTTCTCTTCCTCCTGCTGTCCCCTCCTCCCCTCCTCCTCAGTCTCCCTTATCCGCCCCTCCGGCGGCCAAGAGAGGGTAGGACGTCGGAGCTGGATGGGGTGAGGTCCAGAAGGTACGCAGTACTCTGGCTCACGTAAAGGCAGTTTGAATGATTCTTGAAGTCGAAGTTGCTTGCGATCTATGCGAATCATGTCGGGGCTTAGCGAATGCAATTGTCACAGTGCGTTGCTTGCTTCGGAGCTTAGTCCTCGGCCACGTGATTGGTACCCACGTGTCGTGTTAAAGCGCATTCGAACCGATTGGTTAGGGGAACTTGAGCACTCAGCTTTCTTCTCTCGACTGGGTCGGTAGGGTGTATCTGGCTTCCGACCCCCAAGCCAGAAAGTGTATCTTTCCTCCCTCCTGCGGATCCTCCCTCCTCCCGCTCCATCTCCAATTCCGCCTCCTCTTCCTCCTCCTCCTCCTCCTCCTCCTCATCATCATCATCATCATCATCAGCAGCATCATGCTCATCATCGTTTCCCTCGCACTCCTCCTCTTCCTTCTCCTCCTCCTTCGAGTCCTCTGGACAGGTTTGCTTGAAGTGAGTGATGAATCTGCCGCCCTGCCGCAACCGCGGGGCTCAAGCTTTAAAGGAGGGGGGGGGCATCGCACCGCGCAGGCTTCGTGCATCCCCGACCTGCCCCTCGCTATCGCGCAGTGGGCGGGGCAGGCGACCTTCGCGTGGCTCGCCTCCTGCCCTCGCTGCCCCGACGCCGAGTGCGGCACCGTGGTGTGCTCAGAGATGCACTGTGCAGCCGTCCCACCGTGCCCTGCATGCCCAGCGAGTCGGTGTGTTCAGAAGGGCCGCCCGTTCTCTTGCCAGTCTGGAGTTGGCTGAGCCTTCCCTTCCTCATCCTGGTGAGCGGCACCGTGGGAACAGTCGTGACCGCCTGCAGCCTGGGAGGGACCTAGGCGCTCTGGTTTGCGTGTCGTCGGTGTGCCCCTCGCAGCTCAGATGGCGGCGGCAGTACTGGCTCCCGTTCTCAGGCCCTGGCTGTGGTTCCGCTACCAGGGGGAGGACCCGTGGGAGGACCCGTGCCACCAGCGTCGCGTCGTCGGGGTGCTGGCCTCGTCGGCGACGCAAGCGACTGACCCCGACGAGGTCATCGGAGTCTCGCCCGACAGAAACCCCGAGCAGATCGATCTCTCGGGAGCCTCGCGCGACATCGAGGCGTGGCGTTGGTCTGATGCCTGACGTTCACCACCTCCTGGAGTCCCTCGGAATCGGGTCTACAGGTTCGACAGGGAGCGTGACGCGGTGGCGCTGGCGAGCCTGGTCGCCGCCGCGGTCACGTTTTGCGACGCCACCTGCACCGCGCGCGAGCAGGCGGGTGGGCAGCCGGGGGTGGTGCCCGCCTCGGGCAGCCTGGTCCACTCGGTCTGGCCCGCCCCAGTTGCTGGAGCTGCTGCAGCGGCCGCCGTCCTGGCGCCACCCGCCGCCGCGCTGGCCCTCCCAGGTCCCGGGGCCCTCGCCGGCGGCGGCACCCCCGGCCCTGCCGCCCGTGGCGGACGCGGCCGCCCCGCTCGCCCTCGGGGCGGCGGGCCCCGTCGGGCTGGTTGCCGCCGTGGCGCCCGCCCCCTTGGCCGCGAGCCATGGCGTTCTGGCGGCTGCGCCCGTGGCGGCGCCGGCAGCGGCTCCGGCCCCGGGGGCTCCCCTGGCCGCGCCGCTGGTTGCCGCTCCCGCCCCTGTGCCGTACCTCGTGCTGGTCTCGGTCGAGACGACGGCCTACGGGTTTCGAGGATCGCTCATCACGGCGAACGGTTCCGAGGTCATAAAGGGCGACATCGGCACGCACACGGACCCGCGGCACGGCGCCCTCCTCGCGCGCCGCCTCCGCTCGGACTTCGTGCAGTTCAGAGGGCTCGAGGCCGCAGGTGATGCTTGTCTTCTGGCCGTGATCTCTCTGAACAGGGTACGCTGGAGACGTCTTTGGCGTGATGTCGAGGCGTCCGTGACGGAGATCCCTTTCCCCGACTGGGGGATCGATGGGGCCCTGCACCACGTTGTGGCGCTGCCGCTGGATCGATGATATCCATCGTTTCTTCCTCGTGACCCATCGCCTCACCAAGGATAGCTGGGGGATGGCCATGCATGTGTTCGCATGAAGGCCCTTGATACGCTCGGCATGTACAACAGTTTGGGCGTGCCCAATGTTGCGGGCATCGAGTCTCTGATGCGGGAGGCGCAGCTCGTCGAGTACGCGTACTCGAATCACGACGGCGCCCCGGGATCGGCCCCCGACCCTGCTGAGGGCGGCAGCGGCCGTGGCAAAGAGGGTCGGGGTCGTGGCCGTGGAGGTGTTGCAGGCGCCTTCGGATACCTTGACGAGTACAACGCTTTCCGTGGTCAGCGTGGCAACGGCGAGGCGATGATGTGTCCCGCCCTCGTCGAGTTGGTCGGGAAGCAGGTTGAGCGCGACGCCAACATCCTCAAACAGGTCCGCAAAGCCCGCGAAGAGAGGGCTGATGCGGGCCCGGCCTCAGGCTAGGCCAACGCCCTCAGCGTGAGCTTCCCCTCGGCTCCCGATGTGTCTTTTCTGGGGGCTGGGCTCGCCGCGGCACGCAAGCTTCGATTTTCCGCCATCTGTCGTCGGCGCTCGGCCTCTCGCCTCTGTCTTTCTCCAATCTCACTGCCCCGCCAAAGCGTCCCAGGCGCGCCACGCGCGACAGGCACCCCTGGGGCCCGAGCGTGCCAGGCATGCCTGGTGCGCCGCATGACGTGCCTCCGCGTGCGCCAGGTGTGCCGCATATTCCAGCCGCGCCAGGTCCTCGCGCGCCGCCTCCGCTCGGACTTCGTGCAGTTCAGAGGGCTCGAGGCCGCAGGTGATGCTTGTCTTCTGGCCGTGATCTCTCTGAACAGGGTACGCTGGAGACGTCTTTGGCGTGATGTCGAGGCGTCCGTGACGGAGATCCCTTTCCCCGACTGGGGGATCGATGGGGCCCTGCACCACGTTGTGGCGCTGCCGCTGGATCGATGATATCCATCGTTTCTTCCTCGTGACCCATCGCCTCACCAAGGATAGCTGGGGGATGGCCATGCATGTGTTCGCATGAAGGCCCTTGATACGCTCGGCATGTACAACAGTTTGGGCGTGCCCAATGTTGCGGGCATCGAGTCTCTGATGCGGGAGGCGCAGCTCGTCGAGTACGCGTACTCGAATCACGACGGCGCCCCGGGATCGGCCCCCGACCCTGCTGAGGGCGGCAGCGGCCGTGGCAAAGAGGGTCGGGGTCGTGGCCGTGGAGGTGTTGCAGGCGCCTTCGGATACCTTGACGAGTACAACGCTTTCCGTGGTCAGCGTGGCAACGGCGAGGCGATGATGTGTCCCGCCCTCGTCGAGTTGGTCGGGAAGCAGGTTGAGCGCGACGCCAACATCCTCAAACAGGTCCGCAAAGCCCGCGAAGAGAGGGCTGATGCGGGCCCGGCCTCAGGCTAGGCCAACGCCCTCAGCGTGAGCTTCCCCTCGGCTCCCGATGTGTCTTTTCTGGGGGCTGGGCTCGCCGCGGCACGCAAGCTTCGATTTTCCGCCATCTGTCGTCGGCGCTCGGCCTCTCGCCTCTGTCTTTCTCCAATCTCACTGCCCCGCCAAAGCGTCCCAGGCGCGCCACGCGCGACAGGCACCCCTGGGGCCCGAGCGTGCCAGGCATGCCTGGTGCGCCGCATGACGTGCCTCCGCGTGCGCCAGGTGTGCCGCATATTCCAGCCGCGCCAGGTGCGCCACGTTCGGGGCACGTGCAGACTCAGGTGCGCCTGCGCACGTGCCAGCACACATCGGGAAACATGTCGGCCGCCACCATCACTGTCGAAACCCAGTGCCCATCATTGTGTCTGGTGGGCCTGCGCACAGCAGGCCACACGCCACCACCCCCGCCGTCCCTGTCACAATCCATTTGACAGTGATCGCGGGGTGACCGCGCCTGATCCAGTTTGTAGGCCTCTGGCCAGTGCCGCCGATCCGGGGTGCTACCGATTCTGTTCGCAACGGATGACATTTTATGATTCAAAAGTAGAGCACTCGCTCGAGACATCCTCATCATATAGAGATGTTGAACTCGCTTGGACAACCTTCGGATATTCGAAAGTGGCGATCCCGCGTGAACAGCCAAACTCATTGGATGTCCCCTTCAACCTTCCAGGCCTTAATGGCGTCAGCCATGGCGTCCCCCCCCCCTCTCCCCCCTCCTGGGCCTGAATGGCGTCAGCTATGGCGTCAGCCACCCCCCCCCGACAGAGCGAAGGTTGAGCGAGCTCCCCCGCCACTCCCCCCTCCCGGGCCTGAATGGCGTCAGCCATGGCGTCCCCACCCCACCCCACCCCGATTCCCTCCTCCCGGGCTTGAATCTCCCCCCCCTCCCCATTCCCCTCTCCTGGACCTGAATGGCGTCAGCGATGGCGTCAGCCCCCTCCCCCCCGACAGAGCGAAGCTTGAGCGAGCTCCCCCCTCCCCCCTCCCGGGCCTGAATGGCGTCAGCCATGAGCCCCCCCCACCCCCGACTCCCTCCTCCCGGGCCTCCGGGGCCTGGCGTCAGCCATGGCGTCCCCCCCCCCGCCCTCCTTCCCGGGCCGTCAGCTATGACGTCAGCCCCCCCTTCCCGACAGCCCGCCCCCCTCCCTTTTCCCAGGCTGAGCTCCCCCCCTCCCCGTCGCCCCTCCCGGGCCTGAATGGCGTCAGCCATGCAGCCCCCCCCCGACTCCCTCCTCCCGGGCCTGAATGGCGTCAGCTATGGCGTCCCCCCTTCCCTCTCCACTCATGAACTGAAGCCTGAATGGCGGCACTCAGCCATGGCGTCAGCCCCTCCCCCCCCGACTCCCTCCTCCCGGGCCTGAATGGCGTCAGCCATGGCGTCCCCCCCCTCGGTTCCGGGCCTGAATGGCGTCAGCTATGGCGTCAGCCCCCCACCCCTCGCCCCTTCCCGGGCGTGAATGGCGTCAGCCCCCCCTCCCCGACAGAGCGAAGTTTGAGCGAGGTCAAGCCCACGCTTTCAGAAGCTCGCACGCTTGATCGGCGGATTTAGCCGCGAGGTGCATTTTGTAGTGCCTTCATCCAGGATGGCAGCCCTGCGCACAGCAGACCATACGCTGACACCCCCGCCGTCCCTGTCAAAAATAATGCACAGTGATCGCGGGCCTCACGAACATGACTCCAGACTTTGCCCCAGGGTGTATTTTGTATTGTTGTTTGACAGGGAAGGGGGGTGCATCGGGTTGATTGCGTATGGTCCGAATTTGGACGAATTTGGAGGCAGAGTGTGTTCGTGTTGTTTTTGATAAGGATTGTTGTGGGGAGTGTGAGCATGGGATCCTCATTGTTTCTGCTTGGCTGCCGGTCGCCTGGGAGAGGGGGTGTCTATTAATAGGGAACAGCGATGTACCCCTCCCTGGAGGGGAAGCAGGGGGTTGGAAGAGGACGCTTCCTAGACCACCTACGCCCGGAGAGCAGGTGGGATTATTCAATCGCTTCGCTCACTCCGCCGGCCCGTATTGCATGATCGCTACTGCTTCGGCGCGGGCTCGGGGCCATTTCGGCGCCGCCGGAAGGAGGATGATGAGGATGGGGAGGGGGAGGGGAGGAGGAGAAGAGGATGAGAAGGAACGGAGGAGGATGAAGATAAATATGAGGAGGAGGAGGAGGAGGAGGAGGAAGAGAAAAGGGCGGAGGAGGAAGCCTCTCGATGGCATCTTGCGGCGCTTTTGGGGCCAAACATGACCGTCGTCCAGATGCCTGTGAGAGGCCGTTCGGGAGCGCCTGGGAGACATTTCTGAAGCCTTGTAGGGCCTCTTTTGAGCCTCCTTGGAGCCTTCTGGGGTCTCTTGGGGGCCTCTTGGCGGCATCTTGGGCCATCTTGGGGGCCTCTCGGGGCCTCCTGGGGCCCTCTTGGGGCGGAAGGCTTGAGGTTTCGGTTCGTGGTCCCCATCTTGGGCCCCTCTTTCTGATTTCGAGGATGTTCATGTTGGACATATCGTGAGGGGTCTGCTCGAGTCTCCCGTCCCTGCAGCCTGTTTGGCTCGGCAGTGGGCGGGTGGGTTTCATATTGCGGGCGGAGTGCCGCCCCAGGACGGCGCGGGGTGGCGCGCCGCCGAGATTCATAGCGAACAGGGTTCGCATCGCATTCTTCATTTTATTCACAGACTTACGTCACTGACGACGGTGACGAGAAGGGCTCCAGGGTGTCCTTGTATTCAGATTGGTAGCGAGAGCAGAGTTACGACCACGGTCTACATTGTGGCGATCACGATCGACCACGGTCTGCATTGTGGCGATCACGATCGACGACAACAATGTCGAGTGGTGCGACTACGACCGGAGGAGCTGCTGGCGGCTCAGCAGCACTCCGATTAGACGTCCCGTCACGGGACGGAGAGCCCGACAAGCTGCTGGCATACAAGTTCGACGTCGGGCTCTTCAGCAAGAGCTATAAGATGCAGGACAGGTACGTGGTGGGACCCCAGCTGGTGAGAGCGCTGGGGGCAAGAACACGCAGACTGGCACAGGCGTGCCCAGACATCGACAAGATCGACGAAGTCACCGACGAGGGCAAGCTGACAGGATGGCAACGCGTCTTCGACTTCATCTTGTCGAAGCTCGACCTGTCCAATGTGAACGAGATGGGGAACTCGGCGGAGAAGTTCCTCAACAAGCTACAGCGGGAGCCGGGTGAGGGCTTCCCCGACTGGACGGCGCGCTGGGAGGCGCACGAGCGCGACCTCTTGTCGCAGCTCAAGGCGGTGGACAGCCCGGTCGTGGAGGTCATCGCAGCGCCTCTGAGGACGTGGTGGTACCTCCGCCGATCGCGCCTGAGCCCTGTGGCAAGGGGCGAGATCACCGCTACGGCGGGCGGCGACTACGACTTCGGCAGGACGTGCAAGGCGCTGTGCACGCGGTACCCGCTGGAAGCGCTAAAGGAGATCGACGGGGTCCGCGAGAAGAAGGACAGGCGCGCGGGGTTCTTCGGCGAGGCCGAGGAGGCCGAGCAGGAGGACCACGACTTCGAGGACAGGTCCGAGATCGCGGACATCGTGGACCAGCTGGTCAACTTAGCGGACGAGGAGGACTCGACCCTCTTCGAAGACTCCGAGCTTGCTGACGACTACGAGGACGGCATCTACGCGGAGTTCAGGCAGCTGGGCAGGAACTTCAAGGACGCGAGGGACCTCATCAGGAAGCTCAAGGTGGCGAGGGAATACTACCCCGCGCTCGCTCCTCGACTGGCGGAGGGACCCCCATCGTCCTCGACAACTACGTGATGGCCAACGCTCTTCTCGTCAAGATGGTCAACGATCTTCTCGTCAGGACGGTGGTCAAGAACCTGCGCGTGGCAGGCGTATGATGAGATGTCTAGCTTGCCGCAAGTTCGGGCACCAGGCGAAGGGCTGCCCCGAGAGGACGAAGGACCGCGGCAAGCCACAGCCCAACGAGATGACCTCGTTTGCGCTTCTAGAGCTCGCCGACCTGGCGTTCCTCTTGGACGACGTGTGCGGCATCTGGGCGATCCTCGACTGCGGCGCCACGAAGGGCCTCATCGGTGTGACGATGGCCGAGCACCTCATCTACGACATGGAGGAGAAGCACAACATACTGTTCGACGTGGCGGAGCGGACGCGGTACTTCACTTTCGGCGACGGCAGGCGCAAGAGCTCGATGGGCACCATGACGGGTGCCATCTTTCTCGGCGACGGCCAGGAGAAGATCGAGATCTCGATCATGGACAACGAGGTGCCACTGCTGATCGGCATGGACGTGCTGGGACCTGATCATACCAACGCCCTCATCGACTGCGGCAACGGCTACCTGATGCTGCCGAAGATCTCACATCACGTCTTCCAGTGCCGGAAGATGCCCAGTGGTCACCGTGCCATCAACGTGACGACTCCAGCGTGGTGGCAGAACATTCCCCAGAGCCTCCCGAACATCGTCGGGATCACACAGTGCAACACCCTGGAGGACGAGGCTAAGACGTCCGCGGTCGCGGACGCGGCGGCGCTGGCGCTGGCGTCCGCGGCTGGCGCGGGGGCCTCGAGCTAGGGGCAGCACCCCCCGGTGGATCCGAGAAAAGTTCTTTCCTCTAGTCCATCGGGGGGGCCCAAGAAGACTCCAGAAAAGCCTCACGCCCTCGAGAGATCCTCAGACTTCCCGAAGTTCGAAGACGCTGACCGGGGCCAGGATGTCCTAGCTGCCCCCCTGGGCCTGCTCCTACACCCCCAAGCCTCTCGAGATCTCCTACAGCATCTCCTACGAGGGCATCTTGGGGACCATCTTCGGGGACCAAGAGTTCGAGAGCAACGATCAGAGAAACCGAGACATCTCCAAGAACGCAGACTAGTACGAGTACGAAATTCCCGACACGGCAATCTGAGCCCCCTCCCGATCCTGACGATTTTGATGCGCACCGAGCTCTTTCGGCTCGAAAGGGCGTTCAATCAGGAGGAGATCCTCAATATTCATCCACGCTTCCATATCCAGCGGATGTCATGCCGCCGCGGCACCATTTCGTCGCCTTCGGGCGTGCCACCGCCGCCACCCCCTACCACGGAGCGTCCGCGAGATCGCAGAACGACTCCTTTCGCGTCAAAGCTGCCGACAACAGCCGAGGCGAGTGCGTCGACGTCAGCTCAGATCCAGTCCGAGGCCAGGGTCATCCAAGGCGAGTTCGCTTCTGTACCCCCAAAGGATGTGACCACGAATGCTGCCGGATCGAATCCGACCGCCACCCTCGTCCAGGCGGCCAAGTCCAAGGCGCCGGGATTTCAGAGGTGCGGCTGCTGCGGCCAACCAGGTCGCAAGCGGCACGGGTGTTCGTGCGCGGGAGGCCAGACCCACAAGTGTCGGCTGGGGGAGGCCGGGTACCCGTCGCTGAGATTCGCGCAGAACTAACGTCCACCTCGTCGGAAGAACGACCAGCCACAAGCAGGCCTCCCCGAGTGCATGATTCCCAGGTCGGCGAGCCCAGAGGTCAGTTGGCTGTGCAGGTCCGAGGTGATCTACATAAGGTGGAGGCGGATGCTGTCCAAGGTCCTGAAGAGACTGGCGAACGACCCGTCCTCGGAATCCTTCGAGATGCTGGACGACTCACCCGAGAAGGAGATGGCCAGCAAGAGAGGGCGCGAGTGTCCCTGACCAGCGAGGACCTGGACATCATGCAGAAGGCTATCGACCAGTACGAGCTGGACTACACGAAGGAGATCGGCGACGACGTCAACTTCTTGTCCCGCAACGGCCGCTACGACTTGCTCGAGGTCTGCGCGCCTCCGAAGTCTCGTCTCTCCCAGGCGGCGGTCGACCTAGGTGGAGCCGCCTTCCGAGCTGGGGTACACAACGGGTTCGACATGGCGACGAAGACTGGAGTACGACGGCTTGCTCTGTGGATTCGTCAACATCGGCCTCGACGCATCGTCATGAGTCCTCCGTGCACCGCGGACTGCCAACTCCAGAACTGGAACCAGAAGACCCCAGAGGACCGCGAACGTCTACGTAAAAAGGTGCAACCGGCTCGTCGGATACAAGCTGGGTGCGAGACCATCATGTCGGTCGGGCTCCAACTCCGCGGGGCCGAGATCGACCTGGAGCAGCCGCAGAGATCTCATAGCTGGGGACGTTCGGAGGCACTGAAGCGCATCAGGGAGCAGACCTACGAGACGCTAATGGCTGGCTGTGCTTACGGCCTCCGCTGCCCCCGCAGCGGCCTCCTCTTGCCCAAGGTCTGGAGGATCTGCTCTACCGATCCCGAGCTGCAGAAGGCCATCGGCAAGCGCTGCAGTAATCGCCCTGGTCGGCATGACAACCGCGAGCATGGTGAGATCATCGGGGGGAAGGTGGTAGCGGCCACAGCGTTCTACCCCGAGTTGTGCAAGGCCTGGGCGAAGCACATTCTGCGTGCCGGAGGTGGTGCTACAGCTGGAACCTCAGCCCTCTCGGCGACGGACCAGGACACTGACGACGGCATCTTCGAGGGCATCGACGAAGACGGCGACCAGGATATGGAGGACCATCAGGCGTCAGACGAGGAGCTCGACGAGGATGACCACAGGGAGCTCTCCAAGGACGGCGGCACGCTGAGCACCAAGGAGGCCCAGGAGATAGAGCACCGCCTCAGCCGACTTCATCGCAATCTGGGTCACCCCAGCGTCCGCACCATGTTCAAGATTCTCAACAACTCGGGCGCGAGCATCCAGGTTCTGAAGATGGTCAAGAAGTTTAAGTGCCATGCCTGTGACTCCTCGGTGCTGCCGAAGGCCGTCAGAACAGCTGCTGGCATCGACATTCCCGAGGTATTCGAGGTGATGGGGAGTGACGGCCTCGAGTGGACAGACCCTGTTGACGACGCGACCTACCTGTTCACGCTGAACCTTGACGAGGGGCCTGGACTCACGCAGATCTTCAACCACGGCGACAAGTCCCAGAGGTCCGGCAACCGATCAGCAGCGGACCTCCTCGAGACCTGGAGATCCTGGACGAATCACTACCGCGCTCCTCGCCTCATTCGCAACGACGCTGAGGGCTGTCATCGAGCGGAACTCACCAAAAGCTGGTGCAGTGCGCGCGGGATCGAGATGTTCATCGCTCCTGGCGAGGCGCACTGGCTAATGGGCAAGGTTGAGCGCAGGATCCAGCTGTTCAAGCGGACTCTCACTAAGTTCAGGAAACAGAATCACGATTGCGAAATCGACGAGGCCATCAGCCAGGTCACGCATGCGATCAACGATCTGGACAAGGTCGGGAACCATTCACCCTTCGTACACGCCTTTGGTACTGGAGGCCATCGGGGCTCGGGCAACCCCTTTGCCATCGTGGACGACAGCAACGGAGAGTCCCGGGGGCAGAGGCGACTTCTGGCACGCCAGAGCTTCATCGAGGTGGAGTACTCAGAGCGACGCCGACATGCAGAACATGCCCGCAGCCGCGTGACGACTCGCTGGAACACCGGCGAGCACTGCTACTACTGGCGGAAGGGCCGTGGCCCTGTCAAGGCAACCTGGTATGGTCCAGCGCGCGTCTTAGTTCAAGAACAACGGGTACTTGCAGGCTCTACACGCCCAACTTCAGTCGCGTGGATCTCGCACGGCGATGTTCTACTTCGGTGTGCTCCTGAGCAACTGCGTCCAGCTACGGAGGCCGAGCGAATGGTCGTGGAGCTCAACAACATGGAGGGGCGCGGGGCTACCATGTCCGACTTGATGGAGGTCGCCCGCCGCGGAACGCTCGAGGACCTCACCAACGAGAGTCGACCACACATCCAGAACTTCGAACCGCAGGCGATCCAGCCGTCCGAGTCACCCGAGGACCACGACGATCGGATGGACGAAGAAGTTGCTGAACCTGATCCCTCGGACGGACGTTCTGAACCAGCAGGCGAGCCGACACCACCTGAATCGTCTCCGCCTTCCCCTTCAAGTATCTTCTCCATCGAGCAGCCTGTCTCGAAGCAGTCTCGGTTAAGTTCACCGTCCAGAGCGAGCTCGGCCCCACCTGCTGAACTACCTCATCGGCGCTGGCGCATGTCCTCCAAGGGCGACGAGGCCACCTACCGACAGACACCTGCTGAACGACGACAGGACCGACCTGGGCCCTACTATGAGGGCAAGCCGACAGTCGAGGACAACGATGAGGAGCTCTTCTCTCGGATCACCTTCGGCGGGAACCGGGGCGGCACCGACTTCGAGCTGATCGACGAGAACATGACGGTCTACTACGAGATGGTCAAGTCCGAACTTGCGGACAGCAAGGGCGGACGTCGTCTCACTTCTCAGATGCTGGACTGCCCCGTTGCCAACCAGGAGCGGAAATATAAGATCGAGTTTCACTGGGGAAATCTTCCCCCTCCGAGAAGGCTGAGTTCCGCAAGGCCATGACGAAGGAGGTCGCCAACTGGAAGCAGTACAAAGGCCTCCGTCGTGTACCCGCTTCCGAGGTAAAGGGCCCTGCGGACGTGATCCGGTGCCGCTGGGTGCTGACGCGCAAGAGCGATGGGGCCGCGAAGGCGCGCCTCGTCCTCCTCGGCTACCAGACCAAGGACATCGGACAGGAGCCGACCGCTTCACCAACGGCCTCGCGCCGCGCTCGGGATCTACTCCTCACGGTCGCGGCCGCCAACTCCTGGGCCATCGTCAAGGGCGACGTGACCAGCGCGTTCCCGCAGGCGAGCGACCTGAAGAAGGACCTCTTCGTGGAAGCCGACGAGGCGCTATCTGCCGAGTTTGGCGTTCAACCTGGTCAAGTGCTACGCGTGGCGAAGCCGGGCTACGGCATCGGCGAGGCTCCTCGCAAATGGTGGCAGACGGTGAAGCAGGACTTCGCCAAGCTGGGATTGCAGGCGCGCGATCTCGAACCATGCCTGTGGAGTCTACGCTGTCCTGAGACCAAGGCGCTGCTGGGGCTCATCATGTGCCACGTGGATGGCTTCATTCTCTGCGGTGACCGAGACCATCCTGCATGGCGGAAGGCGCTGAAGAGCATCAAGGACCTCTACACGTGGGGCACATGGGAGGACATGGACGACGGGATCGACTCCATCGAGCAGCGCGGCGTGACGATCGTGAAGAACGAGAAGGGTTTCTTCCAGCACCAGCAGGGCTACATTGACAAGCTGAAGGAGATCTTCCCGAAGTACCCGAAGGCCAAGAGCAGCGACCGATTGACCGAGGCGGACCAGAGTACCTTGAGAACTTGGTGTGGGGCTCTCTCTTGGCTTGGAGTCAATACACTTCCCTGGGTTTCAGCATGGGTTGCAGATGTTCAAAGCAAGATACCCAATGGTGACTACAAGCTCTTTTCGATAGCGAACAACATCACCAAGATGGTCAAAGCCAATCGGACTGACGGCATTCAGATCTTTCGCCACCAACTGCCAGGATGCGGACGAGGTGGTTTCAATTTTCGTATCTACACCTGGTGCGACGCTGCTTGGGCCAGCCGACCAGATGGGCAGCTCTCAGTTCGGCGGAAAGACCGTTTCAGGAGGCATGCGACTTCACTGTCTTGGACTGGGGATCTCGCAAGCTCAAGCGGGTTGCCAGGTCCAGCCTGTCCGCGGAGATCCAGGAGGCCAGCGACGCGGAGGGCGAGCAGATGATGGTTCGCCTGGTGCTCCACGAGGTGCTCTTCGGTTCGGTCGACCTCCGCAATCGTGCTGCTGCTCTGCATCACATTCCAGGAGCTCTCGTGACGGACTGCAAGGCGTTCTACGACGGTGTGGTGAAGTCTGAGTCGGCCGGCTTAGGCCTCGATGAGAGGAGGACGGCCATAGAGGCGCTCGCCTTGCGCCGGGCCCTCGAGGAGGGCGAGACGATCGTGCGCCGGGTGCATAGCCATGCACAGCTGGCCGATGGCATGACCAAAGCCAGCCAGCAGGCTTTCAACGTGCTCCACGCTTTCCTGAAGAGCCAGCGCTGGAAGATCGTTCACGACGAGAGGTTCCTTTCGGCTCGCAAACGGTCTGCCCTTGGCAAAGGGATCTTCGACGAGACGACTGAGACCGACCACAGCGAGGCCAGGGAGATCCTGGAAGGCAGGAGGCGGGCCCCGCCCCCTGCTAGCGACGTGGCCACGGCAGGCGCCACGCACTCCGAGCTCGAGCAGATCTCTTTTCCCCCTGTCTGATTTCGAGGATGTTCATGTTGGACATATCGTGAGGGGTCTGCTCGAGTCTCCCGTCCCTGCAGCCTGTTTGGCTCGGCAGTGGGCGGGTGGGTTTCATATTGCGGGCGGAGTACCGCCCCAGGACGGCGCGGGGTGGCGCGCCGCCGAGATTCATAGCGAAAAGGGTTCGCATCGCATTCTTCATTTTATTCACAGACTTACGTCACTGACGACGGTGACGAGAAGGTATCCAGGGTGCCCTTGTATTCAGACTCTTGGGGCCGTCTTGGGGCTCTCTTGGGCCGTCTTGGGCGTCTCTTGGGCCGTCTCGGGGCCCGTTTGGGCTCTCTGGGGGCCTTCTTGGGGGCCTATTGAGCCGTCTTCGTGCGCTCTTGGGGGCCTCTTGGGCCGTCTTGGAGCATCGGAAAGCCGAAAATGCGACAAGGCCAAAATCCTTCCAAAATCCTTCCAAAACCATCGTAACATTGATGATGTTGGCCTCTCGGGGCGCTCTTGTGAGGCCTCTTGACTTTAAGGGTAGCTCTTTGGGAGATGTTATAGAGGATCGGGAATATAGCCTGCGCGCCGTTGCCTTTGGCTCAAGGCACGCGCGCCCTATTTGCCCGGGCACTTACCTTAGTGTTCGCTATGTGCTGGAAAGATCACTACATCGATCTTATCCCATCCTATCCATCCACTCCCCATATCGTATTCCTTCGACATGAAATTGAATGCTATATGACCTGCCAGAGTCATTTCAGACTTGGTAGCGGAGCTGGCCGCACTCTCGTGTGGTCAGCTCTTGCTCTTCTTATCCTCGCGCTATCCGGCACGATCTTCGTGACCAACTTCCGCCCTGCGCCACCACTCCAATTACATTTACGAGGATCAATTCAAGAGCAAGAAGCAACATGAGAGGTACGACGTCTAGACATTGGTACCATATATGCTTCATCACTACGCTACTACCAACCGGGCAGCCTTCATATGACTATGATTATCTCGAGGCGCACGCTATGCTCGGTAACGAGCCTGAGCCGACTACCGCACCGCCGACGCCGAGACAGCCAAGCGATGCTCAGACGCTTGTACAGCAGGGAAACCTGCCCGTCCCGGCTGGGCCAATGACCATTGTCATTGGCAACCTTATGTCAGAAGTTGAAGAAGATGATGGATGTGGAATGTGCGAGGACGAGGCCACCATCCCCACGATGGAAGTCAATGGTGAAGACGAGGAGGTGGATTTTAGCCCAGACAGCCCTGACGCACCACCACCCGCACAAGAGCCAATTGTGCCAGACTCCAGTCAGCAGGGAGACCTGCCTGCCCAAGATGCGCCGCCTGCGGCCCCGCAGGACCCCCCGCCGGCTCCTGCTCAGGCTACGTCGGCGGCATCATCTGATGAACATGCCAGGAGGTCTCGCTCGCATCCACGCCTTAGGGACGACCCTCGCCCTCAAGCACGGCTCCCACGCGAATGGAGACAAGCAGCCCCATCAGAGCATGCCTCTCGACGAGGGGGTCAGTTGCTCGCCTACAACGGCCCTAGGCGTCAAACGGGTGAGCACTCTGCCTTTGGAAAAGGCAAGTCTACAGGGACGCCCAAGGCAGGTCCATACGGGGTGGCTATCAGCTCGCGACGAACATTCGTCGTCCTAAGATAGAGGCAGTGCGGAAACAGCTGCGGACCATCATTGAGGAGCGCAAGCGCTACAAGCCAGACGCGGTCTGCGGCCCGTGCTCAGAGCCATTCCAGGAACACAGACCTGGGAGTCCTGTAGGTCTCAATGAGGGCTTAATAAGCCCGAACAGAGGCCGCACTCCTGCAAAGGAGGGTCATCCACCGTTGGTTCCTATGACCCAAGTAGAGATCGACGAGGTCAATCGTCGTCTCGGAACCACGGCTCACAGGAGCTCTACAGCCGAGGAGATCCAACCTCCGCGGGGACTTGTGTCTATGACCCAGGAAGAGAAAGATGCGCTCAATCGTCTTCCTGGAATGCGGGGAAACCCGCCTGGCGTCTCCAGTCAGTCCCAACATCAAGAGATGATGGATGACGATGAACAGGAGGTTCAGCGAGCCGCAGCAGAAACGGAGCGCAAGCGAGTGGCAGAAGAACGCGCCCGCGAGGCAACTCGCCAAATGTTGCTGGAGCCACAAAGGGGGGCAAGGAAGCCCCCACTCCAACCGAAGGCCAAAATCGAAACACGAGCACCTAGGACGCCTTCGGGGGAAAGACAGAAAGCGTCGACCCGCTCAGAGGAACTCGGGTTCGATGTGCAGATGGGGAGGCCCCTTTCGGAAGTGCCGAAGTCACCGACTCGTGCAGCTCCTGCGCAGAGACCCGACCCTAGGCAACAACCTCAGGACTCCGCGGAGATCCGCAGACGACAACCTAGCCGTAGCGGCTCTATCGCCGGCAAGGCCAAGGCATTCGAGCGCGCAGGGTTTACCCCTACGCCGGCCTCGCTTGCGGCGACACGCTCCAAGAGATCTGAGGAAGGTGCTCTGTCTAGGGGCACCTGGGTGCCTAAGATCACGGGCAGCGCCAGCCGAGAAACACTGCGGGGAAAGCCGCCAAGCGCTGCAGCCGCAGCATCCTCATCCTCAGGAGCCGCAGCCTCATCGGCGACAGAGGCTCCTTTGCGGGGAAGCCCGCCAGAGGATAAGCTGCATCACCCAGGGGATACTTCCTTTACTAGCGGGAGTCAGGCGTTAGTCAATGATCGACGTGCCCTGCGGAATCTTCCACCGATACGCTCGGTGGATGAGGCGTTCATGGAGAGCTGCAGGCAGAAAAATATTGTTCCGAGAAGTAATCATACACTCAAGCAGCTTAGTAAATGCCTCAACAAGATCTGCAGACACGCGCCTGACAAACCACACAATCCAGTGTGGGGCCTTGAGACTTTCGACGATCATGACGGATGGATCAATCTCTATGAGCTCGCACACGAGTTTCCGTGGCACAACGGTCGCACGAGACAGGACGGGTACAACCCGAGAATGGATGATGCCAAGATCATCGCCGAGAAAGAACGGTTGACCAGATGGCTGCCATCATGATGGCGATCGCCCACGTCCGCGAGGCGGACGGTGAGGAGAAGCAGCGTCTGCAGTTCAAGGTCCTGGTGCGAGATTCTGACACGTCCGATATATTCATCCGTGCCTCGCAAGGGCACTCGTGGACGCTCACGGCCCCTTGGTCGTTGTACAAGTACATTGTACTGCACGACAATCCTGCCGGGAGACCGGCCCCATACCCCGAGGTTGCCATGCACGGCACACGGTGGACAGCCCATGAGGGCATCATGTGGCATGGCCTTTCCTGCCGCAAAGAACACAACACCAAGAAGAGAGGGACTGGCCGATCACGCATCCACTTTGTTCCGACGCTTCGTCGTCGCGGCGTGCAGAGCGGATGGGACCCCGACTCTGAGATCGTTATTTTTGTGGACTGGCACCATGCCCTGAAGGACGGGATCGACTTTTGCTGGTCCGACAGTGGGGTTCTCTTATCAGAAGGAAAAGACGGCATTATTGAGCCGTATTACATTACACACGTGAAAGAACTCCCCACAGGAAAGCAATGGCGGAACCCAGAATATCTGGGTAGTCGCCATGCACGCGTCTCCACTGCCATAATGACGGCACCGAACAGGTGGAAAACTGTGGGCAGTGCTAGTATTATGCACAGATGGTCTCTTGACCGAGATGCTAATGAGCCTCATGCGGTTCATGGTCAAAGAGAGATAGGGGACCATTACAGCCCAACAGCGCTGGGAAACCAGCCCGAAATCCACCAGATCCTCATGATCAACGAGAGTGAGGCAGGAAGCGCGGCTCCAAGCCGTGCTCCAAGCCAAGGGCCTAGTGCCATAGCATGGCAGGTCCTCAGCACCTCAGATCTGGACCAGATCGCGGCTGCTCTAAATCCTGAGCAGGTGGAACAGCTAGCGGACAGACTGTACCAGCAAGATCCCTGGGCCGCAGGTCAGGGAGCTATGTCCGCCATGGTGACGCGCAACCGCCAGGCCATGCAGGGAAACCTGGCCGTTAATGGACTCAGAAACGACATGCCCGAACCGCAGGGAGACCCGCAAACGTTCGGCCACATCTTCTCAGAGCCTGCTCGATTTGAGCAGATGGCAGGAAGCCCCTCGCATAGCATGCACACACCGAGGGGCATGACCCCAGTGGCGACACCACCAGCACAGTCTCCGTTTGGGGCTCCTGGTCGATCTGCCACGAATGGCACTCTCATGGGGCGCATTGCCGCGGCCAGAGCTGAGCATGGCACAGCTCTTTTGAGTATGATGCCACCGGGCACGCCAACGAGTCTGCAGGGAAACCTGCCTGGCACTCCAGTACACCACCGACCTTTTGCTGGCCAAACCACTGCTGCTGGAGTGCCTGATGACTTCCGCGCAAGGGTGGCAGCTGCGGTACAACAGGTGCAGAGTCACAACCTGCCCTACCCGAGCGGTCAGAGGTGGAGACCAGCCTGGTCTTGGGAGCCAGAGGGTCCGATTCCACTTGACCCTGCCCGGCAACGAGCCTTTAGCCCGGCCTTCAATGCTCATCCGAGTATGGCTCAGGGCCAGAGGCCAGCGCCAGCACCACTGGATCCGCCACTGTACCCCGACGGGTCTAGAGTCCCGAACAGATTTGTTCGCGAGACTGCGGATCAGATTCATAGCCTCACGAATGTGCGCTGCAGTGATCAGTCCATGTACCCGCACATGGCTTTCATGCCTGCACCAACGACTCCAGAGGTGGCCGTCCAGTCTACTGCCCACTCGATATCATCAGGCAGTAGGGGAGTACCAGACTACATCAGGCAGACGTACCACACTCAACAGGCGTGTTTTAGGCGCAGGCAGGCGGTGCAGAGTGTACGTGACCAAGCACGCGCAGCCGCACTTGAGGTCGTGAGGAACAGAGGCATCGGCAGCTCCTCAAGCAGCGGTTGCCGCAGCGCCGGAGGTACTGGCCCCCGCAGGAGATCCTCCAGCTGCTT